CAAACTGTAATAATTTGTTTTTCTGTGCATGTACATCGCTTCTACAAATTTTCGTCCCATTCGGATAACTCCTTCTTGCTGCGTCGTTTTTTTTTTTTTTTTTTTTTTTGTCTAAGGGTGTACCTAAAACTGAGCAAAATCTTAAATTAAATAATAGCTCGTACTTTGTTTAACCCAGCCTCTTCCTTTGAGCACCTACTCTTCCCCGCCTCTAATATCTTCCCACCAATTATAATGAAGGGTTAAAAATAGGAATGCTGAAATGATAAGATTTTTGATGGTCTCATCCGAAACACTTGCAGAAAGGGTAAAAAAGCCTGAAATGGCACAGTCATTGTTGCCAATTCCACAAAGCCTAAACTGGGAATGTGATATCCCATTTCGGGTTTTCTGGAGGTGGCAACAAAAATTGTACCATTTCAGGATTTCTTTCCCCCTTCTACAGGCGTTTTGCATGAGACTATCAAAAAATGTACCATTTCAGCCATTCACTATAGTTTGTGGGACGACAATGGAGCAGAGGAACACTAAGGTAAAATTCGTGCATTTTAAAATTATTTCGGAGTAAACTGTGAGCGAAACAACAAAAACCGAAAAAAGGAGACTTCTTAAGGTGCATAGAGAAAATTATTTCATCTGGAAAAGCATTTTTTATTACAGTAACTCCGTTCGGCATATAACTGTATATTTGGCTTAATATTCTCCTCTATTATGAGAATCACATTTTTAAAAATTCTTAAAATAATGAATCTATTTTATTAAAACCTGGGATAGCTGTATTACTAACGATTTTCACGATTCTTTGAAGTACCGTATTTTTAATACTACCAACTTAATGCTAGTCAAATTCTCAAAAGTTTTCATTTTTCGTTTTCAGTGTTTCGACTTTCGCTTTTAATGTTTCAGTTTTTAAGATGTAGAATTCTCAAAATATTTTTAGCCTCGATTATTCTTTAGAAATCGACAAAAAGCTATTTCAAAATAACCATAATACCAAATCACAATCAAATTTTAAAAACATCTTGCTTTATGTATTAGGTTTAATACCCAGTGTCATTAATGGTTTATATAAGCAGTTTATTTATTTACAGTATATGTCATTAATGGTAAGTTTAAAGGATGACGTGTCATTGTGATATCACTTTACACATATTTCCCTATCAAGAAAGGCAGAAATGGCAGGATTGATAAAAAAAAGTTGAAATTTTCTAATTCTAATATCAGCATTTTGAGCTACTGCGTGAGAAAAAAAATTAACTAACAGTACGTTAATATTTGTCCTTATTGATTTTTAAAAGCCGTTATTCTGAAAAAACAAACACCCCCCCCCCAAAAAAAAAGGGTGGAAGGCTACTCACTTGTAGAAGTTCTCGTAGCACACGATATCGATGCCATGTATCCAAGAAATTCTCCATACTATTCACACTTTTATACAAGGCTTCCTGAATCAATTGCGCAATGGTTTTCAGATCCTCACTGAATAAAGGTTTTGCGAATGACATGTGCGCCATATCAGATGTCACGCTTATGATCGAGTCACCATTTTCCATCTAAATGAGTATAAACGAAAGTAAATCAGAACTAATGAAGCAATATGATCAGCAACATATGTTTAGTTCATCTAATATAAAAAAAATTCAATAGAAATGAATGCCAAACTAGGATGAAAAAATTAATTAAAATTTTTGCTTTGACCAAATAAATTCAACCAAATTAATCAGTAATGCACATTTTTTAATGAGAATATAACTAAAGTCAGGCTATGATTTTAGTTTAATCAGTATCCTTTTCATGTACAAAATTCTTTCATTCATATTTGGTGTCAACAGATAGATAATTTAAAGAAATATAAAGTTTTACAAATCATTTAAATAATTAAAGTAACTTAAAATCTTTAAATAAGTGCTCTGTTCCCCGTTCTGAAAATCAAAGTACAACTCGGGGGGGGGGGACTTAAACTATTCCCGAATGAAAATTTGGCGAAATTAGGTGCAGGTATTCATTTGGAAACTATGAAAGATATAATATGAAATTATGTGAGCCAATAAAAGTAAAAAGGTATATTAGGATTTATATATTTGTTATGACCTTATGCAAGCATTTATAAATATTGTCAAATGTGTCTCAAAGATATTATTTTAACGAATGTAAATAATGGAGAATAGTTACTAATCGCCCATCTCGAAATAACTCGAAACTATGTGACGTCTCCAAAGCCTGAAACATTCTATAAAACATTATTCCAAGGAAATACACACGCAGATTTTCATCGACGGAAATATAACTTGTCGGAAAGACTGAAGTTATCCAAGTATTTTTATTTACGGCTATCAATATGTTCTCCTTTTCCTGGATATATTCCTCTTTTCAAGTCTTAAATTAACTTCAGGGAACAATTTTAAAAATCATTGCTAATGCCTGGTTATTAAACCTGAACATTATAATAGTTAAAAATGTTTGGTTTTAGACAGCGTAAGTTAAAAATCAACAAGATCAGTAGAAAGACAGATGGACGTTTGGAAAAAGAAACGTTTCAGAAATGCTGCCGAAAATCTGAGCAATGGTTGGCTAAAATTACCTGGACATGGAGATTGAGATATTTAAGAAGTTTTCTTCTTCTTGAGTGGCTAAAATCTCGAAATTCTTTTATGTATAGAAATTGAATTGCCCAAAGCAAACAAGAAACGAATGGTAAAGGAATAGACATTGATTATGGTTTAATCATACAGTCAATATAAAAAAAATTCGCACCCACTTAATATGACTGAATAAAACTAAATCAGCATCGATTTGATATAAACAGACTCAGAACTTAAACTTCTAAACATACAGAATGCCATTCTGAACTCCTGAAAATTACAAGTTTTTTGCTCTTTCTGTGCAGTAATAATACGAAAAGACAATGCTCTTTAATTCAGGTTTGGTAGAGTAAAGATAAGAATCACCTCACTATGTAGTCAGTGAAAGGATTAGCAGTAGTGCATTCTTTCCTCGTCTCAATTGTGCAATATACCACCCGTATGAAGTTACTCTTTATTATAAAAGATATGAATGAATGAAAATTTATTACTTAGTGAAGCTCGTTATAAGTTTTACGTATTTCTATACCCATAGTCAGATTACACTTTTTTAATATTTAAGAAATAGATATAAAATATGCAAAATAATAAACATACTTCCTTATAATTGCTTAAAATTTGATAATTTTCATACACTGCGATTCTGTAAATTTATATATCTAGCATGTTATTTAAGGTTTGAAGATCCCAACAGGTATGCTATTCTCTTTTTTACTTTTGAAGGCTACGCTAATGCCTTTCTTTTTGGACTTCAAGATATAGCAACCATAACACCACTGCAATAAAAAAATCAACTTTTTGTACTGGCGATATTAAAATTTCATGCAACTCTAAGTCAACTAGAGGTACATGAATTCTTAAGACTATTAGGCGTTTTTTGAATGAAAAGTAAATTGTGCACTCACCGGGATTCGAATCAGAAATATTCCAGTGCTCGCTAGAAGTGATGATTCCCACGAAAAAAAAAAAAAAAAACGCGCAATCAATTCTTATAACCCCTTCTTAACACAAAGACAGCCTGAGGAAAAGGCATGAGACTCAGTCAGTCAAATCTTACGTGGGCATAAATTAAAGAGCCACCATACAGACTATTATATTTTTAGTGCAGGAAAATAAATAAATAAATAAACCGTGCCTTCGCGGAGCGTGGAGTCACGGATCTCCAATACTAACTAGATATGTTAAACACTTACATCAACATAGATGGTTAGATGCGATACAGTTATGTACAGAAAAAATGCTCTTGTTCCTCTGTCTCTTTGTTTTTCTATGGGTGATCACTTAAAATGGTGCTCCTGCATAGCCGAAGTTGTGCAAATTATTGAACGCAAGTTATCGTCTCTGACAAGTCACAGTTTTCAGTTTGAATACTGATCCTCAACGTATTTTTATCTAGAATATATCCGATACATGAAAATTTTCATCAAATGCCACCGAAGACCTCTGTTTTCAGAGGAGTGACTTGTTCATGTAGAGAATGGCGGTGAAAATATGAATATTTAAATAAAGCTATTGTAAATGCCCAGAAGTACACAAAATATGTTACGTATTCCTAACAAGATTTTATGGCGAATGCAGGCCGGAGTTTAATATGCAATAATACTTAAACTGAGACTACCTACTGCATGAACGGTGTTTGCACAATAATGACAGATTTCATCCAGCCCATTTGGTGAAAGTTTAAAGATATCGTTATATTATATTGATTATCACATACGTCGTATTTCAGGCCTATTGTAAATATATGAGATGTCTCAGAAGGCTGAATTGCAGCACTCCGATCCCATTCTCGGAGTCTGTAGAAACTCAAGATATGCTTTTCCAGAATAATGAATGTTCACCTCGCAGGATTTAATTCTCAACCTGATTAATTCAATAGAAAGATATTGAGAATCTTTCAAATTGGTTCGTAACATAATATATTATCTATTTGCCAAGGGTATTGGAGGGGGTTACAGCCGAAAAGATCGCGGACGGACACGTCGCGGAGAAAATAACACAAGGCGCAAACGTCGTGGTACAAAACATCATGAGAAAAAAGAAAGCAAAGAGAAAACATCGCAGTTTTTAAAACATCGTGGCACAAAATATCGTCGTCGAAAATAAAGTGGTTCAATATCGTCGCAGTTTAAAAACATTGCCGTCGAAAATATTATGGTATAAAATAAAGCTCCTAGAAATCATCGCATGACGATAGCTTGGCAGACATGCGCTTTTCAGGCTCTAAAATTTGTAAATGGATATTCGCATTTATGAGAGCACGATGGAAAGAGAAATAAATTTACTTTTATAATTCAAAATTTTGAATTAATTAATACATTTTTGCTGAAAACGTCAGAAGGAGACCTAAGCATTTAAAAACTTATAATGAGTAGAAAATTAATGCAACTTAGAGCACGTAATAGAAGTGTAAACTTACCTAAGTAACTATAAAGGTCCGTAAGTTGCATTAATTTTCTATGAGTAGCATTATTTTTTCTACTCATTTTCAGTTTTTAAATGCTTAACTTTTCTTCTCACTTTTTCAGCAAAAATGCATTATTTAATTCAAACTTATGAATTATAAAAACAAATATAGTCATCTTTCCGTCTTGCTCTCATAAATCATTATGCAAATAAGCATTTACAACTTTTAAAGGCTGAAAAACTTATGTCTGCGATAATTTGTAGGAGCTTTATTGTTTACCCCGATATTTTCGACGACGATGTTTTTAAAATGCGACGTTATTGAACCGCTTTTTTTCCGACGACGATATCTTGTACCACGATGTTTTAGAACAGCGATGTTTTCTCTTTGCTTTCTTTTCTTCCACAATGTTTTGTACCACAACGTTTACGCCTTGCGTTGTTTCCTCTGCGACGTTTTCGTCCGCGGTGTTTTTGGCGAATACCAATGGAGGTATCATGATTATTGTGTTTAGGTAGTATTAAAGTATTTACTCTAAAAACTTTCGCTGTTTATCTCTGTGACATGCAAACAGCATATGTCAGTCACAAAGTTTATAAACATTATTCCTTTTCATGCATCACCAGTAATATTCAATTTCCTCAGTTATTTTTTATATTTGGGCGGCACCTTTATCCTTTAATTTTGCATTCTGCATATGATAAATGCAATAGATGATTTCAATTATTTGCAGGAGGATTGATTTTCGTTTCAAATTTCATGTTAGATAGAATATAAATGGAATTATACAATGAGTGGCATTATTCACTGAGTGACCAAACTAATATGAATGATTTTATCCGAAGTAGATACTACAGATCTGATTACTTACACAGATAAAGTTCATTTACATTGTAAGAATTTGGATAAAGCAAAATCAAAGATATATGAATATATCACTTGTGAAACAATGAGAAAAAAACATCTACTGAGCTTTGAACAAGGGAATCTTATGTATTATGGGTCGTTGCAGAAACAGTGGGTTCAAAATGGCAGCAGTGATAAATTAATTAGCACTCGGTTATAGTTCACATAAGGTTAATCAGCAGCTAAAAAACTGGGTACGATAAAAAAATCTATGGACATATGGAGGTCCTATAGAGTACAGTAATATTTTACCAGTGACAGAGAGGGACAAAGATATCTCAGTCTATGGATAACTTGATTTTTAAACTAATGAAGATGGCCTAACAGTATGCGGTCCATTATATTACTTAAGCTGCGGAAATGGAAGGTCTGTCTGTACTCCATTCTTATATGTTGCAAGCAAAGTGAAATGCCACCAGTTTGCTGCAAAACACAGGAATTGGATAACAAGTGATTGGAAAGTGGGTCGTGAGAAATTACGTTTCTATCTCAATTACAACATTCAAATAATACAGAGGGATGGTGGTGGTGTATTTAATTATGGCAAAGCACACGAAGGCTATCTGCTTAAGGGGAGGGATGCCTTCGTGGAGGACTTTCTAAGGGAAACTGGCTCGTATACACGTTACACATGGGGAAAACCACGAAAACGCCCATGCAGCCAGCCCGTTCGCGGGATTCGAACCACGGACCGAACTACCAGTATTCAGCGACTTTACCACTCGGTCGCTGGTGGGCCTTTAATACAGAGGGAAAAAAGAGAGAGAGATCATGCTGTCAAACTTGGCGAACTAGTCGATCCTACAAATAAGGGCAAAAGTGTACATAAATATTTCACATAAAGTACTTATAATTTAATGAAGCCCCTTCTAAATTTCCACGCACACATAAAACAGGAAGAAAAAGAAAAATCACACCACAAATATCCCATTCGGTCACAGAAAACTTAAATTACAACGGACTGCGAATGCTCCTAGGGGTTTTTTAATTTTGGAGGGCAATATCTGTCTTACCAAAGATACTGAATCAGCATTACAAATCCTGCTAATCTCTAGTGATATCGAATTCTCAACGAAGAAGCATACTTTTACCAAGATTGTAGGTTGTGTCATTCAGCTAACATTGCATATGTAAATGATTACTGGAACATGATAAAAACATTTTCCTGCAATGACCTCTTCAGTTCTCAGCTTTTGACTTCATTGCACATCTGTGGATCTAGATTGAAAACAAATCCAACAAATAGACCTAGTACCATCGAATTTTAAAAAACTGGCGGACACGAATCATCACATCGGGCTTTACTTGCTTCATGAAACATAGGGTAATATAGTAGAAACTTTAACTAAAAGAATCTAAGCCGAATTAAAAGCATATGTCGTTTAATAAATCAGTAAAGGGTGGTCATAATAATTCGGAAACCCAATATACGTACTAAGTACGTACATTTACTTAATGGGGGTACGTACTAAGTACGTACTCCCATTAAGTAAAAGCTTGCAAACTTAAATTTAAAATTTGAGAGGATTAATTTAAGGTAATAAACTGCTGGCCATTAAAATTGCAACACCAGGAAGGAATGGTCTGATGAACGTCAAACTCACATGAAAGGAAGAAGAGGCTGGGATATGTAAATTTTTAGTATTTCAGCACATTTAGACGACGCAGGAGGGAGAAACGACATCTGAACCACTGCCATAAACGAAAAGTTGTGTACTAGATTCATTCGGAAAATGTTTTGCAAGGTCAGAGTTTGCTCAGAATATCGTGTTATGCCTCAAATAAGAAGAAAAAATGCTTACCAGCAAATGTCGGAATTCGATAGAGGCAGGGTCATTGTCAATCGAGAGTGTGGATTACCATCCTGTGATATCGCCCGTCGCACTGGTCGAAAACCAACCACTGTCATGCGAATATGGAATCATTGGGTTGACGAGGGTCATACTGAACGTCATGCAGGATCTCATCGCCCTCCTATGAACAATGCCCGAGAGGAGAGACATCTTGTAAAGTCAGTTCTGAAAAACAGTACAACCACATAACAGACCATTAGTCAGGAAACGGGCATGTTTGCAGCACGCTCAGTATCCATTCGTACGTGCGTCAACTTTTACAGCAACGTAGACTATGAGCACGGCGACCATTACTTCGGCTTCCCTTGACAATGCAGCAAGAGTGAGACAGTTGGTACGCCGAACGGCAAAACTGGATACAGGAGTGGTACAATGTCGTCTTTTCAGACGAATCCCGGTTCTGTGTGTAGTATTCTGATGACCGAATACATGTGTGGAAGCTCCGAGGAGACCGCAAGTAGCCTGCTTGCATTCGATATCGGCATAGGCGCCTTGCACCTGGTGTGATGATTTGAGCAGCCATTGGGTACATGATATGCACATCTCTAGTTCGGATCTACGTTAATTCGAACGCAAAATGGTACATTTTTGACATGTTTTGACATTTGACATGCAAGACCACATGTCGCACGCCATGTTTTGACCTTCCTCGATATACAGAGCATTCGACTGCTGCCCTGGCCTGCACGGTCTCCAGATCTGTCATCCATTGAAAACACCTGGTCATGGGTTGCTGAGAGGCTGGATCGCCACCCCTTTCGAGCTAAAACGGTTGATGAAGTGTTTCATAGACTTGAAGTAGCATGGCATGAGTTGCCCGTTTCTGCTATCCAACCCCAGTTCAACCCTATGCCTAACCGAGTAAGGGCCGTTTTTACTAATTTCGCACCCCTATAAACCCCCAAATTGCTTACAAATTTAATCATTTTGTCTTCAAGCCATACTCTTTACGTATAATAAATATCATTTTTGTATTTGCCTTCCTTCATGGTTTTGCAGTTTTAATAGCCAACAGTGTATATTTTGCATAATTGGGGATGGTTTTATAGGAAATGATTTCCTTCCTGACGTTACAACTAATAATTAATGAACCAATTAAAATACCTCGTAAGAAAAAAATTCTTTTACCCTTTCTTTTAAATTTTCAAGCCACAGAGAATGACATTCAAGTAGATCAGGTTCTTCTGAACTCCAGTGTACAGGATTAGACTTACAATGCCATTTCGCCATGCCTGATGGAGAAACACAAGAGTTAAACATATTATATGATTTTACCTTCCACTTATGAATATGAAAATAAAATTAATCTACATTAATCTTACCAGCTGCCCCATCAGGGCATTTTGCTTCGGCACTGTTACCAGCTTTGGTCCATCCCCAGTTTATTCCGCGAGAAAATGTAGGGGAACAATACTGATCTCTTGAGTACACTGCAGTCGTAAATATTGTAGATGCTTGCAAAGTTGTGACAGATAACTGAGTAGGAACAGCTTCTGTAGCTAAAAGAGAGTAATTAAGAAATTAGAATACAACAGAAGGAGTCTTCAAAAAGTTTATTTTCGAAGACTGTAAGACCCAACAGTTACACTTCATTTTGAAGAAGATAGAAACGGAGGTAAGGCAGAGATGACTAATGAACAAAGTAAAAGGTAATTTTGGTTGAAGAATGTTGTCTGTAGCATTAAAAAGTCCCCGAATAAGGTAATAATGACTAATCAACGAAGCAGGGTTGAAGAATGTTGTCTGCAGCATTAAAGAGTGCCAGAATATTCTTCATAATGTTACTTTCTGACCTTAAGAACTTTTCAGATGGCCGAATATGAAAAATTTCCGCAATGAGAGATTTGGAGTCTACGACTAGGTTCTCCTTTCAAGGATCTGCAACTTCTAATTTCCACTCTGGAAGCATCAGAAAACATTGCCGTGCAACAGAATGATCTTTTTAGAGAAATTATGAAAGAAATTTTCACTTTAATTGTGCGTTGTAAATGAAAAATTAGAACAAGATAAACATCTGTTTAAAGCCCTTTCCTGGCAAAAAAAGAATGTAAAGAATTATTCCATATTAATCTTTTCAGGAAGCATTTACTTGCGAAGATGCTATCAGTATATTTGTCTATCTTTTCCATACACTTCTCAATGTAAAGAAGCCTTTACTAACCATACACCAGAATCATGGCCTTTATATCGGCTAACCAAGAACTACGTTTTAGACACAGGACCTAACAGATACAGTGCAAACTCTTTGGTCGTCCCATATACGGCTTCCTTTAGAAAATAAATCAATATTTCCAAAACCAAAGTACTATTTTTCGCTGGAAATTTAAATAAAAGCAGAAAAATATATGATTTTTAAGACAGTTTTTTTTTTGTTGCAAGAACTATAGCAGAAGTGGCCAAACTTCATGACGATAGGAGGTGCATAGTAGTGTGCATAAAAGTTCGACAGCTCGTTCACTGTATTCAAGCTGGATTTTACAAGAGTCGCAAATCCATACTTATACCGTTTCAAAAATAATCGGACAGGTTTAAACAGAAAGAAATTTTTGAAGTAAATTAATAAGAATTTTAAATGACTTATGCATTTAATATGATTACATTATAAGATATTTTCGCCCTTCTTTCCGCATGACTTCGTGATGTACCTGGAAGCATGATCGACGCATTTTCGAAAGATCCAGGGTTCGCGTCTAGGAAAGGGCATTGCGGAATTCTTCAGTTTTCTGACATCGAAAAATTCTAAATTTATGAACAAGTGGCGCCTGAACTAAAAGGTGGTGGACGATAAATCGTCACCACCAGAATTTGGGAAATGTGTCTGAGTTCTTTAATTCCTTGTCGCCCTTTAAAAGGGAGAGTATTTAAAGTATTTTCTCCCTTCTTTCTGCATACCTTCGTGGTGTAATTGAAAGCATACTCGATTTGTATTCTAGAAGTCCAGGGTTCGAGTATCGAGGCGCACTTTTCACGACGAGGCGAGGGCATAGCGTATTTTTCACGTCTCTTGCTTCAAAACAACCCAATGACTCTACAATATACAAATGTAAATAAATAAACTTTATTTCTTCTGTTCTGTGTTCAGAAAGTATGTTCCAAGATAAAAATTTGAAGATATTGTTCGATGCAACTGAGCGTACTTTCATGGATAAAAACCAGGCTTCTTCTAGTTTCTTTTATCCTCCTCCGTTTATAACTGTTGTCTGGTTTTATTAGAAGTAAACTGGAATTGGAAGATAAAGTAAAATTCTTTATGAATATAATAATGTAAAAACTGTTTTTGTTTCAGATAATCATAAATAACTAATTTTGTTATATAAACTAATCGAATGTTTTTCTTTAACTCTGCGCAGTCCTTTAGGAAGAACAAAATAAGTGACACTGGGCAGCACACAATGTACAGAAATTGTCATTTGAGAAAGAAAAATTACTTTAAAATAAGCTATCAATTTTCTTCAGGCTTTTGCATTAAGATTAATTATATTTTTAGTCCAAAGGGGCTTTGACCCTGAAGGACTATTTTTTTCGTTTTGCGATTTTGCGTCGAATCACTATAAAAGTCCGTTTCACTTTTCAAACTGTTGCCACCAAATGTTAGAGTCCGATAATTTGAAGAATTAAAAATAATGAAAAAATCTTTAAATGTATATATTTCTGCATTGTGATAAAACAACGGTAATCGAGCCATCGAATTTGATGAGAATCTCCGACGAATATCTGGCAGGTGAGGCTAATTTGAAATTTGGAATTTGTTTTATATCGATTTCATATGTTCAAAGCTTAAGAATTTTTGGTAAAAACTCAACGATAAATGCGAGCATGGCAACCTCTAGGGGGGAAAGGAAAAAGACCTGTTACCCAGCGTGGAACGTGTTGAAATTCTAAGATATGTTTTTTAAAATTACTTCGCGACATTGCTATTGAACTGAATTTTATAGTTTAAGTGCAAAGAACATGATATTTAATAAACAAAGGTAACACATAAAACGTTAAAAAAACACCCCTTTGGACGAAATTTAATTTTGTAAGAAAATTAACACGAATACCAAATTACTGAGCTCAAATCTAATTTTAAATATCTGAATCAATTCATTAGACGGGGCCTATGTTACAAACTGTACTTTGATTTTCCTAAAGTTGGGGCATCCGAATGTTTAGATCTCGAGATTTTATCTTTAAATTCGAAAACTTCGAAGCATCATTCGAATCAATACTATTTTTAATCATCATTTTCAAACTTTTTAATATTAAAAAATTATATATACATATAATAATGTTGTCTAGGGAAATTAAGATGTATAATCATCAAAACGTAATGCTAATGTTCGTAAGTCGTTTATAAAATAATGCATAAGGTAGTAGAAATGTAAAGTAAGTCATGCAATCAAATTAAATTTGCATCCTTAAAATAAACTTATTTAAGCTATAGGGTTCCAACCTTGAAGTTAAAGCTATATATGTGGAACCACGGTAACTGGGAAGCGAATAATCGCTTTAGCTCAGGAAACAGAAACGTAAAATCAAGAAGGGTTAATTACCCTTTATTGCTCAAAATAAGAATTAACAGATGGCCCCTTTCTCAGGATGTACAGAAAGGCCTCCCTTGGGCTTGAATCAAGAGTACTAACAATAAAAACTTAACTATTGGCTTAACTAAAATGATATAAACCGAAGCTATCAAAATTCTAAAGGAAGTTGGCCCCTAAATTGTTAACTAAAGGCGAGCTATCAAGGGCTGAAATACGGCCGAGGTAGTAATAGCTTAGGAGAGTGTAGCCAATAGGCAAACGCGCGCTAGTCAGAATCTCTGGCTTTCTAACGCAGTGAAACTTTGACTTAAGTACCTCTCTTCCTTCAATTGCAATAACCGCGATTCTAAAAATACTCTCTGGCAGGAAATTGTAAGCTAAATAGAAGGACAGAGAAAGTAGCTTTAACTAAAGATAACTCTTAAAAACTTAGGATAAACCTGATAAAGGTAAGTGCTATTAACTGCAAGGCAGAACAGATGTGATGATAAATCATGTAAAGGAAAATTCATTCTGAAATTCTTATGGAAATTTCTTACAGAAGACGCTTTTCAGACAGATAACAATCAAAATACAGTAGTATCTCTGAATTCGACAGCTCTGGTATACACCCAGCTTAGTAATCGTCTTGCTTGAAAGCAAAAATTTTTGTTTGGTATACGATATTTGTCTGGAATACGACTCGAGTTCAATGAATCACGACTGAACAAAATTCACCTGTTTCGAGACGGTGCTAACAGGGCCCATGATCGTTAATACACCTGTTGCTACTATTTAGTAAATAATAACCCGCGCTATACTACAAGTTTCAAGTTCGAATTTTAGAAAAGTTATTGAAAAGAGTCAAGCAATGACAAAAATGGTTAGAATCACCTTGGAAGGGGTAAAAAAAGAGATCGTTGAAAAGCATGAAGATGTCATGCTATTCGGGATTTGGCTATAGCATACCGTAAGGCGAATACGATAGTATCTAGGATTGCAAAAAACAAAGGCGCTATTAAATCGGAAAATGTTGTAGAAGACGATGAAATCAATTACTAAACAAAGATCACAGATGTTTAGAGCACGAAAACTACTTTTGATCTGGATATCAGTAAATTATTTATGTACGCTGTCATGCGGTGCTTCATATATGTACAGTATATGTTTGAGCTACTGCATGTTAGTCTTCCAAAGTGTTATAATAACAATAACGTTTTTATAAAAACGAATTAACTCTTTTATTTCTTATTGGAAATGTTCATTTGGTATACATCCAAAAATCTGGGACGGATGATGTATAACGAGGTATTAACGACCATGAGTACTTTTCGATGTACTATGGAAGATTTATTGTAAAATATTGTTACTAATTTTGCACATAGATGGATGATTTTAGTGCAATTATATGGGAAATAATAGTATTTTTTGAATAATGCAATATGAAAATCTAGAGAGACAATACTATACCGGAAAAGTAAGAATACAGGAGCAAGTCTATTTAACACTGAATAAATTGTTATCTTGCTAATCTGGAGAGATATTGCTAAACTTGGAGACCATTTGGCGACATTCAGGTCCGGTCTCTCTATAGCTATAACGGATATTGTGACTGAAGAATTATAATTGATGTTCTAGCTGTAACCGTAATTCAGCTCTGCATGCCTTCAAGTAATTTTGAGAAGAAAAAAGTGCTAGGAATACCTTGGTAGCCGGGTGAAAACTGTATAAGAGCGGGGAGAGCATCACTTTCTCAGTTGTTGTTAGTTCAATATGAGTTCGAAGTACTAACACATCTCCGGGTTAGCTTCGCTCCTCAGATGCGCTTTGCAATGTTGTGTTACGTAGTAGTTTGACGTGTAACTACTGATTGGACTCTGTGATACTGTGAAGAGTTGTACGACTATTTTTGTTGAAAGCTCCAGAACTCTAACGTGTTTCCTTTGATAAAATAAATTTTATCAACCTGTCGTTGAGCTTGTATGCATTCAATCTATTACGAACCCGTACGCACGGAACACTATTGTACACGGCGGAAATAAAAGGGGGGAGCAATTCTATATCTCTCGTTCTACTGGGCCGATTGACAAAATTCAAATTTCATTTTTCATGTCTCGAAAGTGCGACTTAGATATATATTAGATTTATGTATAGCGTTGTTCTAACATAGGTATTTTGAGACATAATAGGACTTTTTCTGAAATAACATACCACTTTTTTTCCATATTTCGATTCTACGACTCAAATTATGTCTAGATATTAAATTTTGTAAAATCTGGTGAGAAATTTACGGAGAAATTCAAAAATTTATCTTGGCCAATGTTTTTCAGTGTGTGCCAAGAATAATTCACTTTGCGAACTTCTTAATGTATGGCAACCAATTTTCCTTTCCCTTCCATAATGCCGGGACGGAAAAAAGGTACCTCGTTCCTACCTTTTTACATTGCGCACAAGATGAAAAAAGTGACATCGTTCCTACATTCAAATAATTTTAGCCAAGTGTCTAAACCACATCTGATGTTTTATCTCCTTCAACAAATATGCCGAATTTCAAAACGCGCCAATATATATAAATTTACGTGTATCTTCGGAAATTTTGAATAAAAAACTCAAATTTTGCAGGTTAAGCGGTAAAAATACGCTGGGGAAACTGATGGAAAATTTTGGTAGAGAATTCACCTGGGACCAAAAAGTGGTAAAATTTTAAATAAATTAAAAAATGTATTTTTTTTGGAATAAACTGAATTTCGCGGTGTGAAAGGAAAATCCTGTAAGTTTAATAACAAAAAGGAGATTATAAATATATGCCAAGTATTAAATTGGGCGCAAAATTTTGGGCTAATTTTTTAAAAACACTATACGATTTTTAAATAACGTGGAGTTTTTAGTAGTTTGAATCGAAGAAATGGGAAAACAGTTAGTATGGTATTTCAGAAAGTCCGATTGTGTCAAACACCTATATCAAACTTATATATAAACATAATCCAATCGGTCGCGTTTTCAAGACAGAAAAGCACTAGTTGAAGTCGGCATCGGCCCAGTAGAAGAGAGATAAGAATGTCTCTTTTTTTTTTTTTTTTTTTTCGCAGTGTACATATCTGAGTTGTATGTCGAATGCCGATGTTACTAACATTATCTTCGAATTCCCTCTGTTTCAAAGCCTACAGTGAAACTGACTTGCAGCGCTTCTATTAACGTATGATCCAAGAATCTCTAAACAAGATGAAAGATAGCTAGTATAATTAAGTATCTAGTAGCTCACAAATGTTATACGAATGGTTAAAGAATTCTAATGCTTATATATAGTATCTACATGTTTTTCTGCAATTTCCTCTCGTTTTTCCTTAGTGTTCATAAATTTTGTATTTTTTGCTGTAGACCTGTTTGATGGCAGACCAGCTAGATCTACCTGAGTGCGGCGACATCAGATCTAAAAATCAATTTTGATAAATACGCTTAAAGTCCCATATTAATCCCTTACTGACAGATAAGTTACATATATTTGGGTTATTTAGAATTGAAAATTGGAAACAGAAATTAATATCCACTTGAGTTCTCTAGATAAAGGTACTTGGAAGTGACAAAATGCTGAAATTGAGTGCTTAGGTGTATTGAGGTATTGTCATTTTAGAAAATGAAAAATCATATTACAAAACGTACCATTCACGTGCTAAATTTCAACAGAATTTCACAATGCTTGCGTGAAATTTGCAGTAATTAGACAACGGATCGTAATACAACCTTCCGCTGTGTTACAGGCTTTCGTGAAGAACGCGTACGGCGAACAAAATGATCAGAGCTTAGGGAGACCAAAAATATCAAGAAATTCAAGAAATGCTGCACTGGCACCACACCCAGAATAACCGGTGCGCATATTTCACAAGTGCACATCTGTGTAGCCACCGAGGGAGTGGTCTCTAGAATGGACCAATGGGCTTCCAGTAATATTTCTATCATGTCAAATGATCTTTGGCGCGCTTTAAGCAAGATGGTTGAAAACATTTTGTCACGCAATTTCCTGTACAAAACAATTAAAGCATATTAGATTTCTTCTGAAAAATTTTCAGTTAGATGAAATATAAGCAATTCACTCCTGGTGAAAGATTGAAAAGAAATACAAACAACGTTTGGATACTCCGCAAAACTTTGACTGATCAATCTCGGTTCTGTTCAGGAAACTACATTTGTCAGCATTCTTCATATCGAAAGGCATGTACTTAAATTTACAAGGTTTAACTAGACACATTTTATTTAAGAGAATTGACTGCAAAATGGTAACTGTAATTATTATTTAAATTTTTTCAGTTATACATTCAGTTCAGATGAAAAAAACATAGATTTCTATAATTTGGAATAAAAATTTCTTGAATTTGTAAATAAAATTGCGTAATTTATGGAGTATTAATTTGAAAACTCCAATAAAAATTATGCAATTGCATATTATTATTGTTATTATATTATTTTTGCACCTGCGTGAAGAAAAGCATCTGTATAGAATAATCAGATCTATCATTAATTATTAAGGCTTAAATTATACTTAAATATTATGAGCTGTTTTTTTGCAAAGAGAAAAAACTATGCACAATAAAGGAAAAATAAACGCAAGTAAAATGTTCTAATATTAAGCCAATTTTTTTATAGCGTCCTATAAGTTCTGACATTTCAACAGAATTTTTTAATAGAGTGACTCATGGCAGTCAGAATTAGTTGATGTTGTAAATACTATTCAAAATGAAAAAGAGCTTGATACTATCCACAGATCCAAAACGTTTCAGTGCTTTTAGGAAATTTCATTCCGCTGCTGCGCCGCATATATTATTAAAACTTCTAAATAAAGTTCGCTGCATTAATATTATGAGTTTATTAACAAAAACCGCGTTAAACGGTACATTATGTATATTTTACACACATACTCTTAAAATTATGCGCTGGAACTGAAATTAGTCTGACTTTCAGATTACAAAGGTAAACATTGCGATACTACTGTCATATTAAATTTGCCATGAATATTCATTTGGTATGTTAAATTTCATTTTTAATAACTGTTCATTTTTAAATGCATTGTCTGCACAAGAAATACTCCTCAAATAGTATGAATTTGTCTTATTCACAAAGAATATATTTAATTAATTTATATATAATTATCAATGTTACAATAGATGTAATCAGGTCATACAAAATATATATTTTGAATCTTACACACTTTCAAAATCAAAAGAATGCAAGCGCTGAAATTAAAAAAATACTAGATTCATTGCAACACTTTACGCCCTTCTCAGCTCAATAAAAAATATATTTATACACTTGAAATTTCTTAATCCACAGGTGCATAATATTTGAGGCTAATTGTAGCTCCAGTCATCTTCTCGATGTAAAGAGCGCTAATATGCCGCGAACATCAATCCGAATATAAATGAGTGATAAAAATCGCGAGAGTGAAATGTCAGAGATTAAATAAACTCATAAAGCGAAAGCACTACGAGAATTTTTTCTATTACACCATACATTTATAATTGCGAAACAAATGCAGATTAAAACGTAAACAACATATGCTCATATGCCCAGTTTCAAAGATTCACCGTCACAAGAGCAATAGAAGCTGATTGGTACATTTTCGAACCCCCTCAGTGGCTAAGCTGATGTGCACTTGTGAATTATGCAACCGGTGCAGATGCATTTAGCGACGGAATTAAGAGGCTAAAATATTTTAGATGTACTGGGCAGCAAAATGTCTAACATCGGCCCTAAACTAGATGGATATTTATGTGTGTGTTTGTGGTTGGGTGAGGGGTAGGAAGGAAGAAGTTCGTCAAATACCTTACGAGAAAATATCAAAAGGTAAAACGATTTCATCAGCATCGATATTCCGTTTTTTGGACAAAAACTTTATAGGAAAGAGAAGTTTGTATACAGATCGCCTCTAATTGCTTTGATGCAAAAATGAGTTGGCTTTCTTATGGTTGGAGAATTAGTTTTGAATGACCGACGCACGTTAAAAACTTGGGACTGTTTTCCTAACTAAGTAAGAGCGGAAAAGTTTACCGTACACCATAAAATTCTCAGATTTCAAATTCTTATCCAAATTGAGAAACTTCCTGCGTGGACAGCGATTTTCTTTCTTGAAAGACGTTTTGTCAGCAGTTATCCAGGACACTGAAAGACCGAATAAAAGTAGAAACTTTCGAGGTTCACAGCTTCCGTTGCAAAGCAAGGGAAGAATTTCAGAAACAGAATCTGGATTAAATAAAATTAAACTTGGGGGAAAAATGGAGATATTTATTTGCTGTCCCAATTGTGAGTATCTGCTATATTAAAAAAGTAATACCACCGTGACAGAATTCACAGAAAGAGAATTATTTGCGATTTTATTTGTCTCATGCTGAACAGTATGAAATCAATCAACTGATGAAATTGTTACATATATAATATAATTTAAGAAATTAAATTAGTGATTATAAAGAAATGTTTCATTGCATGATTTCTCTTTCATAATGAAATTATATTTTGAAAATTACAGTACTGTTTGCTACAAATAAAAAGCATTTAAGAAGACAAAGCACTACAAGTGACTGGCCGCAGCTTTGTCTAAGTTTGGCCATGCCTGAAATTATTTTTTTTTGGATTTAAATCTACTACCTTTTGCAATCGCAGCATTGACAAATAATTTAAATACACTTACTTTTAGTAGTCATACCATGTTCTACAGAAACATCATCCTTATTTTTTGTAAAAGATGCGTTATAAAAGTGGTAAGGTGAAACCGTAGAAGTACGCACTGGTAGAGATGGCAAAGAAGGCAAGAAGCTGGATGAAACAGATCGGTAAGTCACCGTCTGCAATTTGGTGTACATGGGTCCTTCTGTAGCATTTGATGGATGAGTTGACTTCAGGAAGGGAAAATCACTTGTGGCTTGATCTGCAAATAGCACATTTCCACTTTATTTTATTAGCAAAAAAAAAAAAAAAAAAGCTTTAGATAAATTTACATATTTCTAAGTAATAACAAACTAACCAGTTCCACACTTATACTGTACTTCCAAGTATTTAAGAGTTCCAGGACAAGGATCATGAAAAGTGGCACTTGACACATTCACACTACAGTTCGGTTTCATATTGCATCTAAAAAGTAATCACAATATAACTTTGTATACATTCAAAGAATTTATACTTGTAATCATTTATATCACATTCATATTTATATGTGTAGTACAGCTTAGAGTATGTTTTTGTTAAAAATGCACTGATTGAGTTTATATCAGCATTGACTGAAAAAATTAATAAGATCGTTAAAGATAATATGGAAAATAATAAAAAATGTCAATTTTTAAAGTGATGACGAAGCTTGTTAACGCCATTTTAAAAATAATGTTCACATTGAAAAATAGATGGTATCCATGAAATTAGTATATAATTTAATTATGCTTTCAGAAGAAAAATATGGACTTATTTTTTTTCGGATAAAAATGGCAGCTACGAAAAGTTTTGGTGTCTGACACTAGACGGTGCTAAGAGTCTCATGGCAGCAGAACGTGGAAAATAACATTGCCATATATAATTAATTTTCACGGAGTAGCCATTTGGGATTTCTTAACATGGGGGTTTTATTACAGACTTAATCTACAAAGTTAAATTTTCACGTTGAGCTCAAAGTATACATTACGGCTTTCTTCTAGTATCATGGCTTTCTTGCTTAGCGTCCTGCAGCACATGGACAGAAAAATACTACCATTTAGGTATTCTCAGAACAATCAACTACAGCAGTGCTCCGCAACCGGTGTGCCGCGGCACACTGTTGTGCCATGAGTAGGATATAGGTGTGCCGCAATCAAATACATGTATTTGACATTTTGCAATTCTTTATCATGTATTTAATACACAATGACAATTTTTTTTCCCCTTAATAATGTCTATTTTAAAAGTTTTTATATATTTCACTGTTGTGTGGTTGTGTGTGTGATTGTAAGTGTGTCAGCATTTGAATTTTTTCGGCACTTCCTTGATAACTCGGAACTCTTTGGTGTGCCACGAAATTCCAGAAAGATTTTTTGTGCGTCGCAGGTGAGAAAAGGTTGCGGAGCACTGAACTACAGCACGTGGAAACATATTAACCGTGAAAGGAAGAAAACACTTTAACAACTGTCCTGTCTTTTTAAGCTATTTATCTAACATATATTTTATTATCAATTAACATGAAGTTTTACTTCTTTTTTCATAGACTCTTACATTTCAAAATTTTCTTTTAGACAATTAACATTAACTGTTTTTTTTTTAATGCTTAAGAATTTAAATAAGTTAACATAGGAAATTATATAAAACTCAGATTTTTATTTAGCTAAGTGCTACTTTACTTTGCAGAAAATGTAAAAATAATTATTCAAAAGACTTAGTAAAACTTCTTTTCATCACAAAGCATCAAATTATCAACTGAAAAAATAATTTTTAAGACAAAGATTTATTAAATAGTTCTTGTATTTGCTTACGGAAATAGCTTTAAGGAAAAACATCACACTACATTCTGGAAGTTTATATACAGAAAAAAATTGATAAAAACCTTTCCTGCATTATTGGAAAAGAGTGATGAGACATGCAGTTGACTCGCCAATCCAGATTGCCGTGGTCATTGCAAATACTAATACTGAATCGACCATAATTTGCTCGAACCAAAGTAATCATGCCAGTGTCACAAATAATATTCAGAATCTTCCCTTCACAGGCATAGGTTGTTGTATAGCCAGAAGTGTCTGTGAAACAAGAGAAAAATGTAACAAAATAGAAAATGTAAAAGGTTTTTAGATTTTGAAATGAATCAGCTATAAACTAAGGACATACAAATTACATATAGTTAGTTATAGAGTATCTACAAAAGAAATGACGAAGGCGGATGTTATTGGTAAGTTACCGCCCTACAGTCTATGATCTAAGTACAGTCCATGATCTTAAAGCTGTAAGGAATTATCGCATTTCTCGTTCGGGTTGTGGTCGCGTAAATGGTTAACACGTCCACCAAGCAACTGGAATATTTGTGGTTCGAATCCTGGAGAGGGTATAGCTAATTTTTTTATGTTTTCTGGCTGAAATCCCTAATGGTCTCTACATTGAGTCATTTTTCTCAGAATAATGATTTTGCAGATTCGTGGTTTTGGTGTTGTCATATGAGAGTTCGTCTCACTGGCAAAGGCTTTACAAATATTTCCGCCAGAAACAATAAAATTAGAGCTTATTTTACATATATGTAGTATTTTATCATTATTGAAATGATGTAAAAATTAAAAAGCGTAATCTTAAAATGATAATTATTTTACAATAATTTTATTAATTCTCAGAAAATTAAAATATTTTTGTTAGGCTGAAAATATAAATTTCTTTTTATCAGAGTGAAATTTGAAACTCTATTTTGTTAGACTGTAATTTGAAATAAGAAATTTTAAGTCTAAGTTCGGTACAGAAATTAGACTGAAAATCGTTGTTAACTTCTTAAAATATCTGAAACCAAGCTTGGTTTGAAAGCTTCTTAAAATATCTGAAACCAAGCTTGGTTTGAAAGCTTCTTAAAATACACTGGTCATCAAAACTAAAGGATAATGATAGAAATAAAACGTCACTGATACTTAATGAAAAATTATTAATAGGAATTCGTACAAAGACATTAGTTAACATAAATTACAATGTTTGGCAGTTGATTATTCGCAGAGTATTGAAATTAAAACCAAATTTTTGGAAACTGGAAAATGATGGAAAAAATTAAGTCAACTTTTGCGGAAAAAAATTTCCTTAATATGGTGTATGATCACCTCGGATAGATAAGCATATCTCACATCTTAGTTTCAGATACTTTACCAAAGTGTTGAACAAGTCTTGTGGAATTGTATGCCATTCTTCTGAAAGTGCACGTTTCAGCTCCTGGAGGATCCGGGAAGGAATTTGGCGCGCTGAAACTAACTCGGCGCTCTAAGGCATCCTACACATGTTCAATAGGGTTCAAGTCGGGTGTGTGAGGTGGCCAACCATTCGAGTGATACCTTCTGTTTGCAAGTATTCTGACAGAACATATGCTTGATGAGGCCGAGCAATGTCACCCATTAGCAAATCTCTGGGCCAACAGCAGACCTAAACAGTCTAACTTGGTACACCTCGTCACACATGTCTCCAAGCGGTTAAAGAACCTCATTGAAAGATATGCAGCTCGGTTAGATCATCTCATAATTCCTTCCAAAACCATTAAACCGCGGTCGCGGAAACGGGATATTTTACCAACAAGCCAAGGCAAGTTGCGTGTTCCTTCCTCTGTCCAGATCAAAACACGCCTAGAACCATTCCTCAGACTATATCTGGAATAGTTAGTAAGCAATACTCCGGCTATGTCGTCTTGGCTCCATTAACATAACGATGGCACCAGTTTAAACGGGTTCCTCCGGAAGCTGAAGCGAGTGGGACACAAGCCATTGTTTTTCTCGAATACAGTCCAACCTCATTAAGCTTTCGTGCAGCAGTAGAAAGTTGAGTTTCAGTGAGCTCATTTGAGTTTCAGTGGCGCGAAACTTCTCTCGTATTCGCTTCGCGCTTTCTTCGAGCCAGCAACGACAGAAAACGGTCTTCTGATGAAGATGTTGCTCTTGGTCGCCCTTGATCAGGCTGTCTATCAACTGATTCAGTTCTTAAAAAGTGGGTCTACACTTTGAGTGATATTCAAATCTTGGGCGACCTCCATTTGCGTTTGCGCTTCTTCGATTGTACCAATTATTCACCACTTTTGATCTTCACTTAAATGATGCTTTTGAGCCATAACTACTGAATACGGATTACTATCAGAAACCGCATTCACTTCAAACAACACTACAGATCGGGATTCCAACATGCTCCCATTGCGCACCACATAGTCAATCACCGAATTTGCATATTTCTGGCCCTAACGTATGCGTAGAAATGCAATTTATTTAATTAACATAAATAATTACTACATTAGGCATTGGTTGCAACATTCTCTTAGTGAGCATAATTTTTCTCATTATCCTTCCTAATATTTTTATTAATTTTGATGACCAGTGTATTTTAATATACTGCACTAAAAATATCAATACATTTCATCCAACTTATTGATACTTACGTATTTTAATGTAATTTCAGGGTGGGCTAAATAAGACCTATTAATATTAAACACGGATAATTCTTGTAATAATCATTTATTTTGATTAATTTTTTATACATTAAATATATTTTATGAGAATTATGTATGAAATATGACATCAGACACATGTCCACTATTTTTCTCGATACAGAGATTGGCTCTTTTTAAGGCGTTTTCCATTACACCACGTAATGCTTTTGGTTGAAGGCTCACTATTTCGTCTCGAATATTCTGCTTTAGCTGTCTAATAGTCTCTGGTTTATTAACATACACTTTGTCTTTTAGATATCCCCATTTAAAAAAAAAAAAAAAAAAAAGATTCTACCTCCGCCATTGGCTGCAAAAAGTTTTCAATCATTGTTCTGTAAGAAGCTCGGGAAATAGTTTCTGGCGTTTCATCCTCATTCTCGAAGAAAATATGCGCCAATAACTGTATTGGCCATAACACCGCACCAAACAGTGCACTTGAATTAAAATATAGCCGATATTTACGCTGCGTCATAACAATTGATCATTGACAAGAATAGACAAACTCGATAATTTTAACTCGTTGTTTTGTACTGTATGGTTCCATAATAAATTTTCAAGAATTCAATTATAACCTACAAAAAGAAAACATAATTATATCAAAAAATAAAAAAGTTGTGTTTAACATTGGTAGGTCTTATTTGGCCCACCCTGCATTTCCTCTTATGTTGTGTGATACGAGAATCAGTGATATTTGAAATGAAAATAAAGGAAGTTACGATTTAACTAGATACTATTTATTATATGCTTACAATTTTCATGATAAAATCTGAAAGTTTAGATTTTAATGGTTGGCAACTTCTTTCTAATTTGAATGAATTTCTAAATATAAATCCTTGCTTTGGGCTGTACTGTAGAACTAGCATCTGAACCAACTAAGAACTAAATTCATCTGGATATTTTCGGGGGGGGGCATCGTATAATTGTCTTTCTGGCTTTTTGTAAATTAAATCCATGTATTTACTGTATTGAAAGTTAGAGGATTTTATTTTTTCATTCATCGCACTCTGTCTCAACAAAGATTACGCCATTAAAGACTTTTATTTGAAGGAAACTCAATTTTCTATTTTTATTTGCTCAGTTCTGACGGTATAGTGGTTAGGGGAGCCGATTGCGAAACCAAAGGCCCGGGTTCGAATCCTGGAAAAGGCATGGTTGTAACTGTCGGTCCCCTTCATAGGTAGGCAAAGGTGGCCCATCTATTAGGCACTTAATAAAGTGAAAACCTATTCTGGCCTTAGTAGTGGCCAACGTCTATGATGATTTGTGCCCGCCATTGAGGACGGGGAAAATTTGTTTTCACTTCTTTATATCAAATTAAACGCAGAAATTTCAGTAAAACAAAACAAATTGCATAAGGTTATGGTAAAAAGAGCTACCTGCCTATAAAAGGGGATACCTTCGCGGAGGACCTTTGTAAGGTCCTCCGCGAACACCGACGACGAAAACACCATACAACCGCCCCGGTCGCCAGGATTTTAGCCCGGGTCAAACAGCCAGTGTTCAGGGACTTTACCGCTTAGCCTCTGTTGAGCACAAAAGACATATCTAGTGCTATTCATTTAATATTAATATAAAACATAATTTATTTATTAATATCGAATACTAATTTTCCAATCAATAGCGTAAATTTTCGCGAAGTAATTTAAAATACGTATCTTTTACATTATTTAAGTCAAAGAAACAATTAAACGTACGTAAATTAATTAACTGCTTAGTTTTAAGCGGCTAGATAGAAGAACAACCGGATAATTAGAGTTCTGGATATTTGAAGTCCACATAACTGGAATTCTACCACATTTTGCTGTGTTATAGATAATAAGAATTTTTTAAGCTGCAATTGATTTTACGATACATTCAGACCGGCGCAAGACATATCATTGGAAAAATGGTCAGATCATAAAACCATATGTTTCCTCCAAATTTCATGGTTAATATTCTTGCAGCTGGAGGCGAGTTCCTGCGGAAGCCATTATGTCTCACCCCAACATACATCACTTTCTTTTCAAGATGAGGAATAATACTGAGCGAAAAATTCTCTCCGGATAAAATGTTCGAGAAATTGCCTTTTTAGGGGAGGAGGAAGGGGGGATTACAGAGAACTTTGTCCATACTGGCGAAGTTAAGCGAAGAAATGTGTTACTACTACAAATAGTCTCCTTTCCGTGGCTGTTCCATCCTTACTTATACCCCTATTTTCTTCTAAAACTTAGATCTATCTGTCTATATTTCTCTCTCTCTCTCTCTCTCTATATATATATATAATATATATAAATTTTCATATTGTATTCTTTTATTATTCTTTCACATTATTTTGCAATTAAATGCATAATTAAAAACAATTGTAACAAATAAATAATTATTTAAAAGCAATGCTATTGTTATTTTACTAAGTGGTACAAAATGGAGTCTGGGTATTTAATACATGATATCCTAAATTGCAACATCGTGAGGCAGACAATAAAAACATATCTCCTAAAATGTGTTAAAAGAGTTCTAAAATATGTAATAACATGTTAAGGTGTTTTAAAAGTAAATTTACTTGTCGAACAAAATTTATTTGGGTACATTGCCGGATTACATACCGGATCTTATGATGTGCAGTTTAATTTTCTACGTATGGTTCGGAGGTGTTTTTAAACTTAAAAATTCAATTTAATATAAAATAGAACATCATAAATACCCCAAAATGTCATAAATCTGTATAACTGATCACAGACATTTATTACATCCGAACAATGCGCGAAACTCCAGTGACTTTTGAGGGTATTAACTATTCAAGAAAAATGATGTTCCTCGATTACTTATCTTATACTGGGGTCTAATGTGCATGTGATAGAGTTAAACAAATTTAGTAACATATTCAGACTCCTAGCTACTCTTGAAAGTGCAAAAATTAAGAAATTATTTCTTAATTTCATAGGAGAATGAAAAGGGTTACTTAAAACAAAATATATCGAGATTTACGCTCAGGTAAAGGTAAAGCTACATAATGAATGAAAGAAATGGCAAGAAATATAGCAAACAAAATACGAATATTTTTGCTCATACATTTTTTCTCCTTATAAAATAAACCTTATGTATGATTTTTCATTGCTCCTTACATATAACGCAGTATGAAAGAGCAAATAAGTTGTAATGTTATGTTTAAAAAATCTTAGGACAAAAATAAAATAACAAAGGAAAAATAAAGTTTACCTAATAATAGCGGTGGCTTCAATAAGATATGCGGAAATGAAACTGAAAAAAATTTGAAACAATAATGCAGAGAAAAATCTAACAAAAAAAATTTCGTGAACTAAAAACAAAATAAAATATAAATAATACTAAAGATATAAAACCAAATGAAATAAAATAAAACATAAAATAATGAAATGATAATTAACAATGGTATCAAAATCATAGAATTGCCTCTTAATGAATAATATGCTTAATAATGGCTTTTCAAATTTTTCTAAAATAAAAATCTATTTTTCTGTTTTATCAGTATTTTTAAGCCCGGAGTAAGAATAAGGTTAATTACGTTACGTAGAATAATACATAAAATACTACTGCTAGTAGAATACATTACCTTTTTTGAAAACTTAAAATCTGTTTGAGAACTTTTAAATAAGTTGAAATACCACCAATACACCATAAATAAACGAACGACCTTGCTACATAAATGAAAATCTTTCCCCAGGGAAAATTTTTGTTTTTAAATATTGAGGTCGTAAAACATACTTGGTCGTCAAAAGTATAAATTTCCTTGACAGCATTCAAAAACTTTAATTCCTCAACCCCCCTTTTTTAAGGAAAAAGTCTGATGATCAATAATTTTGACAAATGAAATTTCACTCTTTTATACAAATACGATTTAAAATACACTAAAACACTTTTACAGAAATCATGCAACATTATATTAAATGTCGGCCTCTTGATTCGGAAACACTTAAATCATTGTAATTGTTATTACTTATTCTCCCGGTCTGAGAAATCCCGATCAGGTCCATGAATTTGTGTCCATGAGGAGAAATTACCTGCCATTAGCCAAAGTCTTAAGCACTTATAGATCACAGGTCGACTTTAGTCCAGCTTTGTCCTAATTTTGAAGGAGAACGGATCTAACTGTCATTCCTAAAACCAACCTCTCGTAGAAACCTTCTGTTCACCGTTATTTTTTGTGCTCCCGTGCGCAAAGACACGATACACTACGTACAGTCAGTACTACAGTATACACTATCGTACCAGTCAGGTCGTCAGAAGAGACCGAAAGCCGGAGCTTAAATTACTGATTTTCCTATTAAAACAAATAAATAATATAGCCACATTTCATTACACAGTTAAAAAAGCTCAGATAGATACATTAATGAAACTGCTATTATTGTAATTTGTTTTGTTGCAGACTCTAAATCTTTGAGTTTTCGAGCACTAAAATTCATCATTTGGATGCTTAAAATGGAAGCTTAAAAATAAAGAATGTAAATTGTATTTTCAGTTATGCAAGGCAATAAAATTTACTAATGAAAAGAAAAATTAAGAAATGTGTTTATGTGGAAATGTATCTAAGAAAAAAGCAGCATTTTTTTCCTTCACTCGATCGATAGGCAGCGACGCGAAAACCGATTCATACAGACTCGTAAAATGTTAACAAAAAAAGAAAAAGGGCGAAAGAATTAATGATTCTGAAATCGGATAATAAGTTAAAAGATAATGCACATTATTTTTAATAGTTAAGCTTAATTTTTTTATGAACCAATATGAATAAGCATCTTTAATGCTTTTACATATCTAATGTCTTTTATTTTAAAACAAAATTCAAAACATCAAATCATATACGTTTGCTATTTCATATACTGAAAGGAATGTTTATAGATGTCATAAATGCATAAAATCATATTTTAAGAAATGCATTTATAAATATAACTAATGCTCATTAATTTAATGAATGATAAATGTATTTTCGAATATCTATGAATAAACTGTCATATAATGAAAGCTTAACTATAGATATATTTTTAACATACTAGTATATAACAGTATTTGACAATTGCTCTAATTTAAGACTTAATGTAATGTAGAAAAGGTGTCAATAAGGCACGTAAAACTGATATTTATAAAAATGGATTTAAAATTGCTATTAAGATAAATTTGTTTCATAAAACGCATAAATGTAAATTAGATGATAAAAGTTTTGGAATTATCGTAACCTAACTTGCCTTCACAGCCTCGTGTGCTGAATACATTTTAAAAAAGGAAGACCTAGTCATGGTTATGAAATTTTGCATTGAGCTGCGGAGTAATAAGGCTTTCGTGCATTATTGTGCAAGCAACATAAGACTAGACACAAAAACTTTTAGCAGTGATCCATGCTTAAAAATACCCGTCTAGCTCAGGACCAACAGCAGCCAAGTAATTAAATAGCTGAACAATGGTAGTTCGGTCCGGGTCTCGAATCTTGGCGAACGGTTTACAATAGTTTGCGTTTATGCGTAATGTATAAAAACAATCACCAGTATGCAATATTAAAGCGCAAAGCATGCAAATATACTCACTTTTCATATTTTGAAAAATAGTTAAATGGGATTATGCTTAATAATAAATAAGTAAATATTCTGTTTACGGGTTTTCGAACTTATGAAATATTGATTAAAGGTCCATTTCTAAATTAAAGTCTGGAAACTGGGAGTTATTACATCAGGAAAATGAAACCATTTCGTACTTATACATTGTAATGCAGTTTCTTTCCTTCATATATAAAGAAAAATAAAAGTATTAGAATATATAACGTAATCTGGGAAGAATTCTAGGACTTAGGAATTTAATTATGCTGCAAGCTCCAAGATTTCTTGATTTCACAAGGTTGAAAAAATTCCGAAAAGCAACTTTTTTGTAAGATTTAAAAAGATGCGACATTTTTTATATGGTTTACTTTATTATGTCCATAGAGAAAATAAATGCGCCAAAAATAATACACAGCATTTGTATTTATATTTAGCAAGAAAAGAAAGCATGCAAAAATTTTAGACTGTTCGACAGCTATTTCTAGGTTACACTTTAAATTTCATAACTCACGTCATATGTTTGGAAATAAATCGAATGTTTGTATAAGTTAATGATTTAAACATCTGAACCGAGAACAACAACTAGTCTTCGAATTTAAACAAGAATAATAAATGTTCATCCCCCACTTCGATATGTAAATAAAACAATTTGTGTTTTAAAACTCGGGTATGTCCATCTATTACGCATGAAGGACCTATTAGTCTGAATAAAAGGGCTCTGATTTAGTTAGATTAAATGTAAATACTCAAGAAGATTAATTAAAAAGCAGCATTTCTTTCCTCAGTTTATGCTCAACAGTAACATGCAAGCAAAATATCAAAATTAAATATAAATATGCATGCTCATCAGTGGTGGACATTTTCTGTTTAAATAAATCTCCGAAAAATAATTTTTTCCCCTACTGTTCCAAACAAGTATTTTGGCACGCCGGGATTCCAATCAATCATCATGCTTTTTCTAACACGTAAGAAATGTACTCAAGTTATTAATTATTCTACTTCAAACTTTTAATATTTTCGGTAACACACACTTTAAATGTTAGTTTTTGAAATCCTAGTACAAAAAAATTCGCTTTAAGAAATTATGATTTACTTCAAAGGAAAATTAAGATATTAATGAATTTAGTAATGAATTAAGTTTAGGACAAAGACTGATATTTTACAGCTGGCAAATATTTAATCTTGTGTATCTGTATTAGTTTTAAATAATGACGTAGCATAGTTAGATTAGGGAATACATTTCATCAAAGCACTCGTAATGCAGTTATAAATGACATTTATAAAGACGTTATGAAATCCCTAAAAGGTTCCACAAAACCACGGTGTTCCATAAGATGCAGTCTTGAACATCTCTACTGTATTTCCTTAATCCTTTTATGATTCCTAATATTCTGGCAGCTTCGCAGGGAGAAGAGGAAAGAGAAATAAGTAACGAATTTTTCTTTAATAACTGATGTCATGCATACGATTTACAAATACTTTATTTATGACATATTTAACATCATTGCGTATAGAGCTTATTCTTGCATCACTTCTAATCTAAATTGCAAAGACTATGTCACCTGCAGTAGGAATTACTTCTATCTCGATACTCTTATTTTAGTACTATCTTAGCAGACCTATTTAATCTTAGCAGACCATCTTCCCCTACTCTTCACTAGCAGCTCTCAAAACTTTCTGGCCACTGACCAAAATGAGAGGATGATACCAAGTAAATACTTTTCTGATCTTTGATGTACTACACTAATCATATTTACTAATTCTCAACTCAACAGATGCCTGAATTAATTGTTTGTAAAGCATGTTTACTTCAGCTTAGTTTCAGATACACCTGGAAGCATACCTGTCATAACAATTTCCTAATCGATGTGAGTGATCAGTTTCTTTTTGCATAATGAGTACCTCAATTGTTTCTCCAGTGGCAGAGTGATTAAAACTGTCGATAGTTCGAATCGGCTTCCAACCCAGGAAAACGGACTGGTTGCATGGGTTATTTTCCGCGATTTTCTCCATGTGCAACCTGAATACAAGCCAGTTTCTCTTAATTAAGATCTCTTGTATGTTTCGCCATACACACACATAACCAAAAAATAGTTAATTATCCTTCAGACATTTGGTTAAACTTATTTACCTGCAAGAGTATTATGTTATGAAAATAGATACGAAAACATATCAAAAAATCCCAGAACAGGAATGAATTGGATTAATTAATTTTGACAACGTACATGATGGATATTTCCATAAGTAGGATGATATTGTGGTGCATTTTCGAAGGCAAAATTGGCCCATACTTACTTTATAGCAAAGGGAAAACAAATTTTTAGGATGGCTCTCAACTCGCAGGGAACGACAACTGCTTCTCTTGCCTTTGGTTTAAAGGGTGGGAGAAGACGTCATTTAAACATTTAGCTGGCAATAGTGAGTGCATTACAAATGCACTCTATTAGTTACAGTTATTAATATCTATGCCTTTAAAGATGATGCTTAATTTGATAATAAACATAGCTCTTTTTTTTATCTCCAGATGTTGCATATAGTTTATGTGTGAAATACAAAGCAAGAAAATTCAATAAAAACTTTAAAAAGCCATGCTAAATTAACTAAAATGAATCATTTTACGTGTTATATGATACGCATCCCAAAATAGTACGCGAATGAGTAATAAATAAAAACGTGCCTATACAAGTAATACAAGAA